CAAACAAAGACTATGAGGAAACTAGCATCTCCCGAACATGAAAATGCATTTTCAATTTAAGTAGTAATACACATTTACTAGGGTTTTTCATATATATGTACACACACATATACACATATCTCTCCATGGTTAGAAATGGCCATTACAGCTAAAGGCACCTAAGCCTAGCAAGTAAGAAAATCACCACTGATAGATTAATAGTTGAAAACAGCTGTGCATAGTTAACAACATGTAACAACCAAAAAAAAAATAGACTTCAGATAATCAAAAAAGCCAAAAAAGATCATAGACTCACAGCATACGAGTTTTGAAAAAACATAAAAGCCCAAACATGCTTCTGAAGTATCTGCCATCTTTGAGGAAATACAAAAACCATGAAACTAAGAATTGCAAACAGAAGAAATTCCATAGCAATACTGAAATTATACTTTCAGAAAAATAGAACTATGGGAAAATAAGAGTGAAGAACAAAATATATAATTTCTAGCCCGGCCAGTGTAGCTCAGTGGTTGAGCATCGACACATGCACCAAGAAGTCGCTGGTTCAATCCCTGGTCAGGGCACATGCCCAGGTTGTGGGCCAAATCCCCAGTGGGGAGCATGCAGGAGGCGGCCAATCGATGTTCTCTCTCATCAATGTTTCTATCTCTCTTTCCCTCCCTCTTCGTCTCGCTCTAAAATTCAACAAAGAAAAAAACAATTAAAAGCATATATATATACAATTAAATATATACAAACAATTAAAAGCATATAAATATAAATATAAATATATATATATATATATATATATATATATATATATATATATATATAAAATTTCTGCCTAGGGCAGTAGTGATGAAATACTCATTTACTTAGTACAACACGTATTTGTTGAAGGCATGTGAGTCCTACACGCTGGGATACAATGGAAACCAGGATAGAAATGGCACCCTCCCGGAACAGAAATTCCAAAAATGTAAGATCTAAGACAACACCTTTCTCAAAACATATTGTGAATCAAATCAACCAGGTGCAAGTTCAAAATACAGAAGCTCCATTCCCAGAAATTCTGATTTCATAGGTCTTAGATGGAATCGAAGAAGTGGTTGTTAAGTGGAAAGAGTGAGGTTTTAGCTCTGCTATTAAATATCTATGCAGCTTCGGGCATAAGTCACTTAACTTCATCTCTAACATGAAAATAATTCTATGTGTTTAAAAGGTTTATTCTAAAAAATAAAAATATTTTTTTAAGTGCTTCACATAGCACCTGGCACAGTTGTATCCAAAATGGCAACTGTCAATAACTGTGGCGTACCAGCCATGTCCAAAACTCTGGACTCACATTTAACTTAGCTGCTTACCCAATACATAACACTGGCAAAGTTTTTTTTAACTTCTGTGCGTTTTAGTTTCTCTTTACATAATTTGGGGATAGTAATATTTGCACTTTACCAGAAAAAGTTGTTGGAAGAAAAAAATTATGTATTTTTGGTAAACTACAAAGATACTACCTAAAGGCAATAATAGAGACTACCAGCACTGTTAGTCATAGCAAGGTATACCAAAATACCATTAAAATGAGAAAAAATTGCCGGGCCATCATGGCTCAGTGCTCATAGTGTCCACCCTCGTACGGAAGGGTCTTGGGTTCAGTAACAGTTCAGGGGCGCATACATGGGTTTCAGGTTTGATCCCCAGCCCCTTTCGGAGGGCATGTAGGGGGCAATCAATCCAGTGTAACTCTCTCACATATTTCACGTTCTCTCCCTCCCTCCCACTCTTCCACCCTCGCTAAAGATCAATGGAAAAAAATATCCTTGAGAAGATTACCAAAAGGGAAAACAATGAGAAGTAACTTTTCCCCAAAAAACAACTTTTCTGGGGAAAATACTTGAAAAGTAATTTTTTTGCTACCAAAGTGTACTCATTCAAGATTCTGTTGAGTACTGACTATATGCTACCTTGGAAATAATTCCCCAAATGTCCATCAGAAATGTAGTCTCCAGCCCTGGCCAGTTTGGCTCAGGGGTTAGAGCACTGCCCCACAGACCAGAGAGTCCTGGGTTCGGTTCCCGCTAAGGGCACGTACCTCGGTTGCAGTTTGTCCCCGGCCCTGGTCGGTCGTGTGGGTGGCAGCCACTCGATGTGTTCCTTTCATATCGATGTTTCTCTCTCTCTCTGTTCCTCTCTCTCCCTCCCACTCTACCTGAACAAAAAATAGAAAAATGTCCTCAGGTGAGGATAAAAAATTTAAAAAAAATCTTAACAGCCCCTTGAGTGTTGCACCAAGACAAGTTGGATATAGTTTCTCAAGTAAATACTGGCTAGAAATATTATCAAAAGATCAGAAAACCCTTGGTCACCTTGTCCAACTACCTCTTCCATACTTACATTTCTCTTTGTAATAATCCTAGCATTTAATTCCATTGGTTATCAATCTACCAGTTGTAAGAGCATCATCAGGGGAGCTTTTAAAAGTCCAGATTGTCTCCTGGATGGTGTGGCTCAGTGGTGGAGCATTGACCCATGCACCAAGAGGTCACCAGTTCGATTCCAGGTCAGGGCACATGCCCAGGTTGTGGGCCCAATCCCCAGTGAGGAAGCGGGGGGGGGGGGGCAAGCAGGAGGCAGCCAGTCGATGTTCTCTCTCATTGATGTTTCTATCTCTCTCTCAGATCAATAAAGAAAAAAAATTTTTTTTTAAAAGTACAAATTGTGAAAATCTGACTAAGTCTAGCGGAGCTCTGAGATGTGTATGTGCCGTGTGCCTCCCAGGTGATGGTGACGTGCAGCCAGAACCTGGCCCCAGTGAGGCTGCACTCACCAATCCATTCTGAATATGGCCAGCGTAACCAAACTCCAGTAATATTGGCTTGAAATCTTCCCCATTTCACTTGCCATCTTAGTCCTAATTTTGCTCTTGGGACTACATACAACACAAACCTAAACCTTCTCCAGGCCAAGCATCTCTAGATCCTTCAAGTAACCTACAAATAGTATGTTTTAAACCTGATAACCGTAAATTGTTCCCATCTTTTTATGTACATATCATGCCCATAAGAGAACACAATCCCCATGTAGAATACAATGGGGATGCTCTCTCTTCCATTAGAGTTACAATATTTCCATTAACACCACTAAAGTGTGCCTTTTACTAAACTGTGGTCATACCATATTATGATTACTTTTAAATACACTTATTTTGGGAAAATTTTAGCTTCATACAAAAGTTGCAAATATGGCCCAGCCTGTGTGGCTCAGTGGTTGAGCATCGACCCATGCATCAAGAGATCGTCACTTTGATTCCCGATCAGGGCACATGCCCAAGTTATGGGCCTGATCCCCAGTGAGAGGCATGCAGGAGGCAGCCCGTCAATGTTCCCTCTCATCAATGTTTCTCTCTCTCTCTCCCTCTCCCTTCCTCTCTCTCTAATATCAATAAAGAAAAAAAACAAAAGTTGCAAATATGGTATGGAGAGCTCCCACGTTCCCCTCACCCAGCTCTGGTTTTCCTAATATTAACATGCAGAGTGCCACAGCACATTTATCAAAACCAGAAATGGAACTCACTGTTGTATCTTTTTAATCACATCTTTTTACACAAATTACCTTCTGAGCCACATTTCCTTCATCCTGAACATAGACTTTCACTTTCTTTTTTTGTTTTATTATATGATACAAGTAAAGCCCTTACATTTTCTTTTAAAACTCAGCCCAAGACTTTTCCTTGCTAGCCTTTGACTCTAAGACTCAGGTTTTGAGCCTTGCAAGATGCAATGTAACATCCTATACATACGACTTTGAGGCCCTATATTTGTTGAGATATTCTGAGTCAAGGTCCACTTAAATAACATCCACTGCTGCCAGAAGACTCATGCCACACACATAATATGGTAAGCAAGATATCTTTACTTCCATCCAATTCAACATGCCAAGGCTTAGGGTAACACAAGCCTGCCTCGGAGTGCATTAAATGACTTCTGATGTGTTAATGATTACACATTCAACCAATATTCTGTACATCCAGTTACTTTGTTTTTCATGCAAAGATATTATTCCCTGTCTCAGGAAAGTTCAGACACATTGTGTCTCCACATTTTTTATTTTTACTAGTCTAATATATGTTTGCATGTTTTGCTTCTTCAGCTGAAAGATTTAGAGTATCTGCGCAATAGAAGGAATCTACTCCCCACATAACTCTGAAATGCTTGGGGGGAAAGGAAACTCTCTAAACCTAACATCGACTAGCAACTCACTGAAGCAGCTAATGACCATGTGTGAACTGGTGCTCATAGGAAATCTGTAGAGAAATCCTGAAGTCAGTCACAAAATAAAATCAGAAGAAATAGTAAGGTGGAATTTGTAGTATTATTCCTTCAGAAAGAAAAGGGAATTCAATTTATCCTCTTGAAATTAGCTGCTGGTCTTAATTATTATAAAGCCGAGGGAACGAAATGGCACAAGATAACTATTTACTATTGAAATCCCAATTAAAAAGGATACATTAGACATGTGGACCCAAAGATAGCTATATTCAGCCATATCAATTATTGCCAAAAAATTTTTCTAAACCGTTTACTTCTCCTCAAGAGATATGAATAATTCCTAATTCTGTTTATCTCGCAAAACCAGGCTGTGGAATCAGAGTTTTTAAATTGCAAAATAGACTTGACAATGATTTCAGAAAGGTTGCATAAATCACCATCTTTTTTTTATTATTCCAGTGAGTTTCTTAAAATGGGAAATCCATTTTAAAAAATCATGAGTAAAAAATCATGGCCGGAGTGGCTAAGTTGTTTGGAGCATCATCCCATACCCTGCAAGGTCGGGTTTGATTCCCAGTCAGGGCACAGGCAGCCAATCAATGTTTCACTCTCACATAGATGTTTCTTTCTCTCTCTCCCCCCCTCTCCCTTCCTGTCCCTCTAAAATCAATAAAATTTAAAAAATAAAATAAATTTTAGAAAAAAAATAATAAAGCATAAGAATGCCAAAAACAAAGACCTCTTGCTACTTACCTCATAGTAACTCCGAACAGCATTGCAAAATGCTTCATCAGCTACGATCTGGGTTTCCCCATTGAGGAAGGCCTGGAACCGGTCTTTCAGTAACTGCAATTGTTGCTTGTTAAGCTATAAAAAAATAAGAGAAAAATCGCTAAAAAATTTGACAATCCATGAAATATAATGATTCTATGTGTGTATTAGATTTGACACCTAGAATTAATTTTATGGTAAAGAAAAATAAAAAGCCCTACTGTTTATACTTATGACTCAATTGTAAAGCGTTTTCAATACACTTCCCCATATACTCTGGAATCTTGATATTTCACTGAAATCCAAACTTGTATCCCAGATGAAATTCCTATGATTACTACCCTGGTCTCTTTGCAGAGTCAGGGAAAAGCTAAAATTTGGATGAGAAATTAACTTGCGCAAAACCACCAACTGTCCTGAACAGAGAGGGCAGAGAGCAAGTGATCTTGGAGGTGAGTGGATAACCATCAGCCTTGGACAAGAGAACAGGGAAGAAGATTGCAAAGAAAAGGGATACTGAGAGAGAATCCTCTGGAAAGGGCATCTGTTGGATGCCCAAAGATTGGATTCCATTAATAAATATGTCAATTCGATGACTGAGTTGAGATCAATAAAGTAATGATAAGGAGGAGACAAATCCAAAAAGAACAGAGGTGCAACAGGTGGGCAGTGAGTGTACCTTTGAGCACTGTAGGGTAAGAGCTGTGAACCAGGGAGAGGAGTGCAAGTCTAACCAGATTTCCTCATCTTGGGTCTCGCTGTTGTAGTTTTTACCGAGGGTATGTTAGACGTGAACTAGGACTTATCAGCCATGTCCTCTAGTTATCAACTACAAGCAGAATCAGCTACTTAATTTGTAGGGCTCACTACAAAGTGACAATGATGAGCCCCTTGTTAAAATACTAAGAATTTCAGGTCAGCAACAACAGGGCATGAAACAAAGTCTGAGGCCCTTCTGAGCAGAGAGCTCTGTGCAACTGCACAGCCTCATGCCCTAGAAACCAGCCCTGACTACAGGGACATAAACTTCACTGAAGGGAGGGTACATTAGGTCACGCAGAAACATTGTCTTTAATGTTTAACTGGAGAAAGAACAACACAGTCTTGCAGATAAAATAACATAGTCTTGCAGATAAATCCTAAGATGTATAGGAAAAGGGGAAGAGTAATTTTTCCATTTCACTCGATCCTCACCAGACTATTAAAGAACTCAGGCCAGTTCTGGATTCTACAGAGAGATGTAACATTTGACAACATGCTGAGGATAAAATGATTAAAAGATTAGAAAGACTAAACAAATGGGTATGACTTCAGTTCAAAGAGAAAGCTGATGTGAAATAAGTTTAAATCAGTTCAAAAGGCTTATTAAAATGCCATTCAAATATGAAAGAGAAACTTTCTAAGATGGATTTTATTTAGGAGTCTAACAAACGGGACAGTTTGTAAAGACACTGTTGCTGGTAGTAACAGACTTGATAAAGAAGTGTCCTATTGTACCCCAATGTAAAAAACCTCTTTCCTTGAGCAGTGGAGAGAAGATCATTCCATTTCTTTACTAAGGTTATAACCTTCATTTCAGAGAAGGCTAAACCAAGCAGAAATACAGAAACATCACCTTTTTATTACATTTTATTACATTCTCCATTTCTATAATATGAGGTGAATAAAGGCAGGCACCTTTTGTGTATGTACCAGCAAGGCAAATTAAGTCCATGACTTGAGCTCTCCAGGCATGGACAAAAGGGACCAGATGGAAACAGGACAGCAATTGCTGAGAGCAAGACAGCTGAGGGCACTTCAGTTGCCAAGCCCTGGGAGTGCCAAGAAGGGCTTCAACTTGCAAACCAATTGTCCAGGCAAAGCAATGGAAATGTACGTGGGAATAACAATGAACTATCATTTGTCCCAACCCCCTCATTTGATACATAAAATAAATGCCATTTAAAACCTAGTGGACTTTGTCATTCACTTTTCTTTCATCGGACATTTATGTTCTTTAAAAATTCCTCTAAATCTTTGCAATTTCTAGTTTGCCAGTGTGTAACTAGCCATTGCAACAATCAGTTACTTTCTGGTGATTATGGCATGGAAATTTCATGACTACAAATCAAGGAAAGGTGATTTGAGCAAACCCTCGTCTTGGAAACTCCAACATTGGTTGGGACAGCTCACAAAGCACCTGGATAAATATCAGGCTTCAACTTTTTAATGAATAAAAATTACTGCAGTTACATCTAAGACATAAAAGGACAAGAAATATTATAGTGATATACAAACACTCAACAAATAGACACTTTATTAGTATAGTTAAGAGGCCCACATTTCCACATAGAAGAGATAGGGAGAAAAAAGGAAATGAAATGTAAAATCTAGCAGTGGGGATAGCTATCAGAAAGCAGAATTCCTTAAATGCTGTTTGCATGATCAAAATAAGCCACGTGATACGTCAACATATAGAGACCAATAGAATATACTCAAGAAATGGATACAAATATACTCAGAAATGTACTATAAAATACCATTAGTGCCCTGGCCAGTTTGGCTCAGCGGTTAGAGTGCCGGCCTGTGGTCCAGAGAGACCCGGGTTTGGTTCCTGCTAAGGGCACATACCCTGGTTGCAGTTTGTCCCGGCCCTGGTTGGGTTGTGTGGGTGGCAGCCACTTGATGTGTCCCTTTCATGTCGATGTTTCTCGTCCCCCCTCCCCACTCTATCTGAACAAAAAATGGAAAAATGTCCTCGAGTGAGGATAAAAAAAAAAGAAAAGAAAAAGATAGGATAAAAAAAAGAAAAGAAAAAGAAAAAAAACAACCACCATTATTAACACCTAAAGTCAGTTGTAAAAGATGGTCTATTCCATCAATGGTCTTAGAATAACTGGGAAGTCTTACAGAAAAAAATTAAATGGGAACATAACATACACAATTATAGTCCAAATAAATTAAACGTTTAATGTAAAAAGCTGAAACTGTGAAGGTACTTAATAAAATAGGAGAATTCCTTTAAATCCTGGTATAATCAAGACCTTTCTTCTAATCATGAATCAAAATCCATGTCATAAATTTAATTACATAAACATTCAAAATAAATTTTGCATGGTAAAAAATACCATAAATAAAATCACTAGAAAAGACTAAACAGATAAATATATATTTACAATTCATATTTTTCCAGGTGCTTTGTGAGCTGTCCCAACCAATGTTGGATATTAAAAATTGGTAAGAATTTGCCCTGGCCGGTTTGGATCAGCAGTTAGAGCGTCGGCCTGTGGTCCAGAGGGATCCGGGTTCGGTTCCCGCTGAGGGCATGTACCTCGGTTGCAGTTTGTCCCTGGCCCTAGTTGGGTCGTGTGGGTGGCAACCACTTGATGTGTCCCTTTCACGTCGATGTTTTTCTCTCTCTCTCTCTCTCTCTCTCTCTCTCTCTCCTTCCCACTCTATCTGAATAAAAATGGGAAAATGTCCTCAGGTGAGGATAAAAAAATAAAATTAAAAATTGGTAAGAATTTGACCAATGATCCAACAGGACAATGGACAAAATGTGTACATTCAGAGAAATGACTCCTAAACTATGAAAGCCTATCTTCATTCATAAACACAAAATGCGTATTAAAGCTACATGAGCGTGGAAGAATTCTGGGAAGATGGTAGAACAGGAAGCACCAGAAATGTGTCTCCCACAAGATCTTTGGCAGTATTTGTCTGATGTAACCATTTCAGTAGTCTGAAGTCTACTAAAGGCTTGCAACTTGGAGGAAAGACTGAATGGAATTGCAATTAATTTGGGTCAATTTCAGCTCTTAGCACAGCCACAACTACCCAGCCCCCAGCCCTACAACAGCCAAAAAAAAAAAGCCAACAACCTAAAGTTTCATAAATAGAGAACTAAGGAAATACTACAATATTCAAACAATGGTAACACTATTTTCTCTATAAAAAGAATGAAAAAGTTCTCTTATGTACTGATATGAAAACATCTTCAAACCATCTTGGGGAAGGAAGCTAGTTAGAGTATGCAAAATAAATAAGTCATCACTAAAAACTAGGCAAAATCAGAACCTGTACTTGAATTTGCTTCCAAATGCACACAGAAACTATAAAAGGATGGCTGTGGGAATTGGATAGATGAAAAATAAGGGTGAATGATTTTTCAACCTATACCACTTTATTCATTTTAGGTTTGAAATCACAGGACCCCTTTTTATCTATGCAAATTTTGATTTAGATTTAAGTTAAAATATAATAGCAACTGTACACATCTTTAAACTCAGAATAATATGATATATCACATGCGGTTTCAATCTGGTCATCCTGCAAGAAGACTGGACAGCAAACCAATGGACATTTTCAACTTTCCTTCCAGGTAGATTTGAATTTGACTGGATCCCTTCATTACCATTTCAAGGTTGATGATTTACAATGTTATTGTTGTTTGGGGGGGGGGGGGTAATGTCAATTGTTTTTATTAAAACAAGTATTCATCAGAGGTCCTGATCTATCAGGGAAAATGTTCACGGCACAAAGGAAAGGTAATACCAGCACCTCACAAGGAACTAAATGACAATGTCAGCAAGACACCATGGACAACACACCCTTGTCATCAATGTACTGATCTTTACACAATCCATATCAAATAGTCACTCAGCCTCCAGTTGAGCCTATTAAATTGAACACACACACACACACACACACACCCTACTTAATTACTTCACACTGAAGCCAATTCTAATTTTGAATACCTATAAAGAATTAAAACCCGTTTCTCTATGACTTCCACACAATCCTCGTTTTATGCTATCTAAGATAAAACAGACTTTTTCCTTCTTCAACATAGCAGTACAGAAACTTGAAGAGAGGTACTGGATTATTTGTGAGTCTTCTCTTTCTCAGAACAATTTTGCCAGTTCCCCCAATATCCTAAGTGTACTCTCCAGTTTGTTCATATATTAAGGATTATACAGTTAAGTAAAACTAAGTATAAGAAGGCAATTTGAAAGCTATAACATTTTGCAAATGAAACTCCTAAAATAGCAAAGTCCTTCCTAAAATGTACTGGATAGACTGATCATGAGGACAGTATGGCTGACAGAGACATGTGG